GCAGCAAAGGGCCGCAGATCGGATTCAAACCCTGGGCCGCTGCAGCAAGGACTCAGCCTCGGTACATGGGTCGCTAGCTCTACCCACTGAGCTAACCGGGTACCCACGAAAATATTTTAAACTAAGAAAATAAGCTTGTAAGTAATGTTGTTGTGTTTTCTCAAGGTGTTCGACTTTTCTGGACTAGATGTCCAGAAAAAAGCCCAAATAGAATTGTTTAGGTATGTTCTGTAGCAGCTCATCATCAGTAACCAGTGTCTCATCTCAACCTTTCAGCCTTCATCAGTACATTGAATCTGTGGGAGCAGGTTCTCTGTCTCTGTCTGTCATTTTTTAACTCATACCAAGGCTTATTTGTGTATTGGGAGTGATTAAGCTTTAGCCTTGCATGATTTGTGGGCAGACACAAATAGGAGTCCCCAGTTGAACTTCATCTTCCAGTATATAGACAGATGGGCTGTAAGCTCAGCACTTACAGAGGCTTTTTCCTTACCTTCAACAAGCAGCTGTGCGCTGGCGGTGACCACGCCTGCATCATTGACAGCGGTGCAGGTGTACTTCCCAGCGTCCTGGGCTGTAACATAATGGATCTGGAGAGTCTGGTCTGGGTTTACAAGATACCTATACACACATACAGAACAGTACATTTTCACATTTCCGGGCCCTTGAATCTCTAATAATAATGGAATTTTTCATTTAAGTCAGGAAGGAAATAAGCCCTGAAAAAACATTCTAGCAGCTTAGTCACAAGCTAAAGTTAAATACCTTAAACATGTGCATGGCAATATAAAATGGGATCATTGTCATTTTAGAAGCTAGTCAGAACTGTCAAACCAGAAAAGCTAAAGTTAAATCTTATTTTGTAGGTTGAATTTCTTACAGGGAAATGAAGAGAAGTCATGTAGCAACACTGTAAAACAAATATTTCCTGTTTCCTGCACTTAAATAATCCTGATTAAGTAATCTAAATGCAAATATATATTTTATAAATCAACACTGATCAATGAATGGAGTCTGTATTTCCCTGTCTTGCCATAATAAAGTACCTGCCGTTGGGCAGAGGCCCCTGCTCTCTGCTCCAGACCACAGCCGGTGGGGGGTCACCTTTAGCTTGGCAGTAGAACTGGGCAGACTCCCCCATTCTCACAGACACATTTTCTGGCTTCAGCACCAACACAGGTTTAGCTGCAGTAGAAGAGAGAGGAACTCAGCACTTATTATACTGTGTGGTACCTGGGTACCACACATTGTAAAACCCGGGGCTTAATTCAAACCTGATACTGTTAAAGTAGTAAGAAGTAGTCATGGGAATGTGGTCTCACCCAGCACAGACAGCCGGGCTGCCCTGCTCTCTCTCACTCCCATAGTGTTGCTGGCCACACACACATAAGCACCAGAGTGGTTCTTCTCTGCAGGAGCAATGATAAGCTTCCCACTCAGCTCCTAGGGCACAAGCACAGTGCAGACACACACAGGATACACAGTTCAGTGAGGACAAACATATGATGGGTGCATGGCTTTAACCACATTTTTAAGTATGTATATGATCCACTGCTGCTTAATATGAACTCACTCACCACCCAATTCTAAAATACACTCAAAATATCAAACAGCTCTGTGGTGGATTTGGAACTGCAACAAAAAAATAATGCTTTAATAAAGACAAGAGTTATTTACTTTGCTAGTTTATCTGCTTGTCTAGTGTTAATTTCTGATTGGATGCCATGGTTTTTTGAATTCACTTTTAAATTAATCATAACATCACCACACTCCTAAGAGAAGATACTAAAGCTCTTTTCAGACATGGAATGTGTAACATAACTTCATTTCTCTGCTAAAATGTCTGTTTGCCATTCAGACAGAGGAGTCTGTTAAATAAATGTTCCTTATGGCTTCATTCAGACACGACAGGACATGCACAAATAAGAGGACATGATGCTTGGGCGATATTTGCTGCTCCCGGTGCACAGGGGGAGCAGTGAGTTGATGAAAGGGAATACTATGAGGGAAGGGAGTCTTCTCTTTTCTCGCCATCACTGATGAATTTTTAAAACATATTTTGCCGTTGCAATTGAGAGCAAGAGACACTGATCGCTGCCTCTCACAGTGAGTCCCCTAATAATATGTCTAAACAATTTCATCATGTTTTAGAGAATTCTACTGCCCATAATATTCTTCCATGCAGTTTGCATAGATTAAAATAGTGGAGAGGGAATGCTGAGCATGAGTAGAATCTCTACAACTCTATAAGACTGGCTCATTAATAAGGGCTTTTCACACTGCATATTTCTAGTAAATTAATTGGTATAATAAAGCTCCTTTTCACACACACACACACACACACACTTTTAACCCAGGGCTAACCTAAGCCCAAGGCCTGGGGCCCAGCTGGCAAATGTTTACATTCTGTATACTTCATATTTCACACTAGGATCTTTAAGCACTGTGTTTAGTCGATTTTCAGAGGATAATTAGGGCTACATGATATGGTAAAAACATCATATTGTGATTATTTTGACAGATATTGTGTTCTATATGAATCACAATTAGAGTGAGAATGATCATTTCTGCATCACAAATGTCATTTTCATGTGATATTTTTTTAGGTCTGTATCAAAGTACAGTACATTATAATGCTGTTTGTCACATTTTACCTTAATCAAAAAATTGTAGCTTCTGTGATTTAGATATTGCACTTGGCAATATTGCATTGGATTTTGATTAATTGCAGCCCTAGGGATAACCCCGTAAACTCTGAGCTAACCTTGTTGGAGCAGGGCCAGCAAGACCTGGGCTAAAGTCAGGGTTAGAATGTACCAGGATTGGGCCAGTGAGAAATCTTTCTCAGGCGACATGCGAATGGTCATGTGATATGCGTTTTCAGTCGTGTTGGTATGGACGGAGATTTCTCCTTCTAAAAAGGTGCTAAATGCTAATCTGGATGGAGATCGTTTTCGTTTTAAGACAAAAACATAGCAGTGTGGATATAGCCATAGCCTGGGGCTAACAGCTCCCTAAGCCAGGGCTTATGATACTCCGGGCTAACAATATGCAGTGTGAAAAGCTCTTTAGCTCAGGGCTAAGAAGATTCTAAGCATACTTTTAGCTCTGGGCTAAGTGCAGTGTAAAAAGCCCTACAGTGTTTTCTGGTTTATCAAACTAATTATTCTTGTGTGTCCATGAGTGGGGATAATTAATGATCCATTACAGTGCTCTTACCAGTGCAAACACAATGTGCATTTTTTACCCCCTGCTGCTACCTTCACATTAAACTGACACATTCAGTTGAGACTTGTGCAGTGGTGGAAATGTTGCTAGATCTGACTACTCTCTTTAAAGTGACTCGGGCACCTATCTACATAAAACTGCCATCTCAGTCACACGGAGGCAGAGGGCTTACAGTGTAGTGGTGATCAGTGTTGTTGATAGGCAGGCCGTCCTTCTTCCACATGACATTAGGTTCAGGGTGTCCCACTGGGGGGCCACAGTTTAAGACAGCCACATCCCCCTCTGCCACCTCCACATCACTGGGCTGCACACTGAACTCCTCCTGCAACGCTACAACAACAGAGTCAGGGTTAGAGTCCAGAGAGCTGAATGTTAAATGAGTTGTCTCAATACATGTCTAGAGGGGATCTTTAAGAACTGTTTAGAACCCTGTGAGGTCAAGGTGGACAGTTGCATCTCTTTATTCAGCATACATTATATATAGTCATATGTTTCAATCACTTTAATCCTGTAAAAATCATCTAAAACAAAACTCCTGAATGACAACTGTCTGCCGTCCTCTCCTTTAACGTCAAATCAATAACATGTTTTCACAAAGTAAACATTTCCAGCTATAAAGGCAGACACTAAAGCAGTGTGAAAAGCCTGTTAGCAATCATTATGGTGAAAACATCCCTTCTAAAATAAATTAATAAACAAAACTGTCTCTTTCTGTTCCACAGTCAAACCTTCCCTTCACTGCACTTTTGTCCAGTGCAGCTTTCAGTGTGCTGTAAAGACTCCAGGACAAGCAGCTGCTGCATGTCGACCGCCTCGCTGGGATCAACATAAGTAAACAGCGAGGGTCCGAGGACAATTAGCACCGCTGTTTGAGCCCCGCTTGTCCAGCAAACATTGACACTGGACCCCTGTACCCCTTCTGTCTCTGTCACCATACATCTTCATCAGCCCACTGCACGTGTGTGTGGTCTTCATCTCCCCATCCCTCTCCTCTAAAAGGGTTTAGGAATTCAATGACAGCAGAAAAGCTGCACAGCATCAGAGGAAAAAACTGAAAATGTGACTTTCCCTCACAGCAGAGAACGCACTTTCTGCATACAGTAACTAGAAGGGTTAGTAGAGCAGTCAGATAACTTAGTCAGAGTCTCTCTTTACTTTGACGTGCTCAGTTGTGCTCTGCTGGAAAACTTAACTAAGACTTTCACTAGCTTCCCAACGCTCACAAAGGGGAAAAAAAGAAATATAACTTGCTAACCTAGTTTAGTCAAGCAAACGTCACATCATTACAATTGCTTTATTCTTTCTCAACATCCCGTTTCTATGCAGCCTTATATTAACTAACACCTTAGAACTGAGACTAATAGGGGTTAGATGTGAGCAGTTCATTTCTCAGTCTTCAGTGGTGAAACACACTCCGGTAGGATCCCTGAGTCATACCTGCGATATACAGCGACGCATTGTGGCTGGTGGCCTTGCCCACGCTGTTCCTGGCCACGCAGGCATAGACACCCTCGTGTGACTGGCCTCGCCTGCCCCCTCCCACGCTCACGAAGAAGAGGCTCCCCTCTGGCAGAACCATGGGCTGCAGCTCTCCATCTCCCTTCTCCGTCTCCAGAGGCTGGCCGTTTCGCAGCCACTCGAAGGTCAGCTTGGAGCTGCCATCCGCCCGGCAGTAGAGCGTGGCAGGACTCCCGACTTTCACCACCACGTCAGTGGGGTGGTGGACGATGCGGGGCGGCGTCTCCTCTGCACGGACTCTGGAACCTGAGCAGGAGGCAGAGATTTGTAGAGATTGTAAAGAGCATTGACAAAAGCCGTTACAGTACAGTACAGCTGTCTTATCATTATCACAGAAATATTGTGAGCCCATAAGTTCAGTGTGGATGCATACAGGGACCATTAGGGCATTGAGCTTGATAAAGAATATTGTCCACAACATGGGACAGTAGGAGCATATTTACAAACAGTAATAATTCATAGATATTATTGGATTCCAGTCAGACTGAAACAGCTTGGTTTACTCTAAAGCAATGGGTGCTGGAAATGTAAGAGTTCTATGGGTGCTTTTCTACACCTCATGTGGGACTGTCCACTGGTCTCCCCATTCTGGACCAGAGTAGTTGGAACACTTGAAGAGTGGTTGGATCAGGCCTTGCCACTCAAGCTATGTTTCTTCTTCTCAGAGACAAATCTGTTCTAGCAGCTGGACGTAGAAAAGTTTGGGTTAGCTCTTCCGTAATGCAGCCAGGATTGTACTAAGGAACTGGGAAAATACAAACACTGCTTGTTAACAGAATTGGGTTGAACTCATGACGGCCTCATGTGAGTTCATGCTAGAGCCAAAGTGAAAGTCTCTGAGCTGAAACTCACTGAAATGTGGGGAAGCTTGCTCAGGTTTATTCATTAATTAATGGTGGTGGTCATTAGACGGCAATATGTAAGAGAAAGCCTGATGTATGTCATGTGGGATGTGTGTGTGTGTGTGTGTGCTGGTGGAAGAGGAGATGCTGTGAGATCAGTATGTGCTGTGGTGTTTGCTTTCAGTTCTCCTTTCTGTTTTGTATTGTAAATGTTTTGTCCACAACTAAAAGATCCAGTTTTCATAGAAAAGAAACCATGAGACATTAACATTTGAGAAGCTGAAAGTGGAGAATTTCAAATGATTAATTGATAGAATTAGTTTGGCTAATTATTTAACAGTCAGTAACTAGGTAATTAAGCGACCTATTCTTGGTCAGTTCATTCCAGAAAAGCCCCAGATGGCTGAAAGTACTATGGAATTGTGTGACGTCAGTCCAATAAGTGAATTCGGTCAGTATCGGCACTCGATACAGATACTGAATCACATTGGTTCCAAATCTAAATTGTACGATCACGATGAAGAAGACAGCGTATTTAATGTACCTGTCGTATACTATAGGGGGATCAGGTGAATTACAGCTGTTCCACTGTGGATAAGAGCCTACAATGTCAATACTATGTGTCTGTGTACAGAAGAGCCACACCCAAACAGCAGCGCCCAGCACTATGCATCACCACCTCTGGGTTCATTTCACTGGCAACACAACTCCAACCGCAAACAAACTTTAAGCCTTGCTTCCAACAAACAATGTCTATTTGCATCCAGCAGCAGTGGAATGCCATTGTTTGAACTTCCCATGGAGCTGGATGACCACACTGAAGGAAGCGGGGAGACCGCGATCAGCTTCCTGACGGGAGAGGAAGCTCCAGGGTCTCAGGAACATCAACTGACAAAAGCCGGCTGGAACTCCCCCCATCAACAGCATATCCGCAACAGAACAAAAGACACTCGGCTTTTTGTTGCTTTACACACAAAAAGAACATTTTACAAATGAAGTCACTTCACGTTAAACAGGCCACCAGGCTTAAAAGGATTTGGGAGAACGAGTTGAACCCTCACAGATGCTTCCTGTCCCATAAACACATGTAATTCAGAACAGAGGCTTAGAATAAAACGGTGCCCAAACGTTTGGAAAACATCATCTGAGAAATGCTTTTTAACACGTGAGTGAAATCCTAATCTGCCCACATGTTTTAGGCTGCTTTAAATGGGCAGAAACAAAGAAAGGGCTGCACTTCTTGAGCTCTTCAGTCCTTCACTATAGCCGGAAATACCTTCAAATTAGATCGAACAATAGTCACTTTAACCTCATTGTCACCGAGTAAAGAGGACGCAGTCAAAACATGGGTCACAAACTGGTCTCTGTCTAAGTATTCAAAAATGTGTGTGTGGGAAAGCAAGGCAGGCTCCAAACACACACACACACCATCAGACTCAACAGGCTGGCACAGAGACCGGAAGCACCACTGAAAGGATCGCTCATTGATCGATCAATTAGTCAATCAACGGAAAAGTAATAGCCAACAAATGATCTAACTAATCATTTATTTTCCAAAATGTCACACGCTGCAGATGAAGTGTAAATATTGGCTTGGCTTCAGTCTTGTAAAGTAAATATCTGTGAATATCTTTTGGGTTTTGGACTATAAGACAACGCAGGGATATAATGTCAGCTTGGGCTCTGGGAAATCTGGACTATTTTCTGACATATTATACAGCAAAAATGAAACGAGAACATAATCAATATCAGCATTCAGAAGCTCAATATGAAGTAAAACATTCTTTTAACTGGACATTCAGGAGAAATGTTTGCAAACTGCTTGCAATCACTGCTGTAGTTCTTCTCAGATAGTGTATGTTGGTGTAGAATGAGCAGGTGCTGGGCCCATCAGGACCGCTCAGGTTTAATGCAGATGATGGTGTGGTGCTGCAGACAGAGAACCATCAGCAGCAGGACTGTGGAAAGTAATGTCTAATATTCTAGAAGTAATTGGGCTTTAAAAGCAAACTGTAGCTACCAATATGGTGAATATACCACTGGCAAGAGTCAATAAATACAATTTACACTTTACTGAAGTATCATAAATAGGCCAAGTAATGTTTAACATCTCTTTAGTAAGTTAACTTTCTTAACTGTCTTTAATTCTAAACTAACTAAAGTTAGGACTAACGTTATTATACCTATCTATCATTGTTTGTAAGACATTTTGAAGTTTTGGAAATGTTTCAGGGTTATGAGTTAACACATGAATGATTCAGAAACTCAGACGTAACGTTAGTTACTTACCTGACAGAAGAACTCCAAATAACAACATGCTCCTGAAAGCACCTCTGCTCATCATTAACAGCGGAGTTAACGGTCATGGATACCTTCCGAAGCTGCTGACAAATAGCTTTTTAGGCTAACTACGTAAGTTAGTTACTAAATGACGCGAAATTTAACTGAATGTACAAGCAGTTTCTCCTCTCTTTAGTTTGTAACTATAATATTTTGTAGTTTAGTTTTGAATGTACCTGCCAACCTCACTTGAAAAACACCGTCCTGTAATGAATAAACGCCACCCTCACTTCAGTGACAGCACCAACGTCAAGGCGGCGTAGTGACATTACGCTTCCAGGCCGGTGGCTTTTCAAGATAAAACCTATGTTGATAAAAGTAACGCAGTAACACACGCGTAGGTTACAATTCAAATGCAGTAATTTGATTTTAGACTAGCATTCGATATGGTTTTGTCACATTGCACCCCTACCAGTATTTGTGTTCGTTTCTTTCTGTTTTGCAAAGGTGTCTCTGGATTTTAATTTGAAAATAGTACCTCCAGCTTCCGGCAGGGGTCTAGGATTTCTGTAGTAGACTTGACAGACGCACCGGTAAAAGGCATGACGCTCAGCCAGTAGACAATCTGTCTTCATTCCAGTTTTGAACATGTGGAATCTTGGAGATTACAATTAAACATTTATTTATTTTCCATTTCTATTAAAAGATAGTATGTAAACTGCGACATCCCATACAGCCTGGTTGCGGGGATAAAAAATGAAAACCCAGAAAAGACAAACTTCTGTGCAGTAATTTCCTGGTTCACAGACACCTTTAAGTTTTTTCAAACATATACTAAAATGTTAATGAGGAAAGTCCACAACAGCCTGGAGGTGACAAGTGAAAAGTTATGAGTGTGTGAAAGTTGAAAGTAAGTGAATCATTGCCTGATATCAGACAGAATTCCAGTCAACTCAGTGGAGTGGGTGGATTCAAAGGTCCAGGCAAAGAGAATCAATGAATGTGGTGTAAATTGAAGTAGTATTCTGGGTTAAAATAATTTGTACCAGGTTGTGATATTATATGGACTACCTTTGCTATACTAGCTACTTTGTTTGACTTTATCATTGTATATATTTTAAATCCTCTGTGTTTAAATTTGCAATTTTTATAGGCAAAATTGTTCACTGTACAAGTCACTTTCTTCACTATAGCTCTGAGGACCCAGGTTATCTGTCCTCACTTGAAAACTGCAATGATCATGTGCTGATAAACACAACTTAAGAAAATAAAAGTCAGAAATGATTGACATTATATCATTTATATATGTATTTCTTATATATGACCACGAGTGTGGCTCAAAATTATGAGATTATTTTTTTCAATTATCTTATTAAATAGCAAATTATCCTGTTAAATACAAATGGCTGTGGTGGATGTATTCATTTCTGTTGTCCAAGCTGCTGGCCTGTCCTAGCTGTTTTTTAATTTGTTTTTGACAGTTTGTGGCAGCAGCTCTGTCAGAACTACTGGGAGGCAGGAAGTTCAGTCTCCCTTGATTCTAAACAATAGAAGGAAATTATGTATCTGTACCAGTCCAGCAAGCACTTCAATGGTTTACTGGCCTCTATCTTGTGTTTTTTTTTTTTACAATAACTGAATGATACAGCAGATTTTCTTTCTAGAGAGAAAAGTTGTAGAATACTGGATTGGTGTCTAAATTCTATACTACAAACTAATACAAAGCAGGTTTTTTTATGTGGGGCGTTCACACTGGAAAAGAGTATATTCAAAAAAGTTGAAGGACAATGCACACAGGAAACTACTAAGAGCTGCAAAAATAACTGAATTGAAAAGAAAATTGATTGTGAATTGTTGGTGGTGTGACTCTTGGAAGATCATGGAAAACATAACGTTCAGATTAGTTTAGTTGGCTAAAGTCACAGTTCCACTGATATCTGATGGTGCACTTCTGATGATTTTCTTTTTAGTATAAAATGATAAAGTATGTTGATTTCTCATAACTGCAAAAACAGTACACCTAACCTGGGGGTCAGGACCCTGACTAGGGGTTGCCAAAGCTTCACCGGGTGTCACGAGACCTTCTTGACTCTAAAGGGTGTAAGAAATATATATACAGCAGGTCTGTATCTAATTTCTAGTTATTTTTAAAGTTTTGATTATTATTTAAGATCTAAACTAGAACACCATCTATATGCACAGAGCCTTCACTCTCTGATAATCACCCTCGCCCTGCATTAGGGGCCGATCACACAGACACATCACTAGAAACATGTCGCCTGGCATGTGCTGCAATGTTTTGACAAGTAAAATAAAATACTCTAAACTTTTCAGCCTATAGCAATGCGTCTCTGTGTGATCGCCCCTTTCGAAAAGAACGCAGTTAAAACAACCAAAGAGCTAATAAAACACTGAATTTGACAAAAAAGAAGCCTATTAAGTATTATGATGGTTAGAAATCAAAAACATACTTAACACAGACAGAGAATTTTGTTAAACGTTAAATGTTAAAAATATTATATAACTTTTTATCCTGACTTCCTGCAGTTATTGTGTTCACTGTTTGGGTTCATTGTGCAGTTTATCAGCTGTTCTCTACTGTTATCGTTAGGCATTAAATATAATATAAAATATGTCAGTCATTACACAAGGATAAAAAAGGGCTCCCTTAAGGAAAAAGGTTGGGAACTGCTGCACCCCATGGCTTTAGGCAATAAGTTCCACTCTATTTACTTTGATGTGATGGTATAAAGTATAAAAAGCAATGCAAGCTCAAATGTAACTTTTGGAAGGATAAAAACACTCCAGATGCTGAGTTACTTCCAAGTTCCATCACGGCAAAGCGAGTGGACCCAGAAATCAGTGAACTACCGCTAGTTCATTCCTCCCAATGGCTCACATAAATAAAGTATTGTTTCGTGAGCTGTTCATTGTGAGATTCAGAAAGACCCGGGGCTAAGTGATGGATGTTTATATTGATCCAACAACTTGGGCTTGATGGCCCCGGCATCGGCCAGCTTTCAGCCGGCAACAAAAGGTTTAGAGAGGATGAAGGATGAGTCCCGGCTAAACACAACCCATGGGAATGGCGCTGGGCTGAGATGTGCCGAGGGAAGGAACCTCTTTCAGGCCGTAGACCAAAGGTCAGGAGAAGCATTGGAGCAGGCATTAGAGGGAGGGATGGTATAAGAAAAAGAAAGAATGTGTCAACTCCAGTGAGGAATGTGATAAAAAGTGACTTCAGAGTAAATTCAGAGTGTAATTCAAGTGTGCTTTGTAAAGGAATCAACAATCACTGTCAGCTATAATGACTGCTAGTTTAAACAAAAATGGATGCGGGATTGTTACACGCCACCTCTATTTCTCACTGACTCAACCTAATTGAACTAATTAAAGAGCTGGAATGACAGTAAAATGTTTATCTATATGTATTAGTCTTTGCTTTCAGAAACACTATAACTGCATTCCATCACAACTACACTGTAAAACCAGATAAGTTAATTTAACTAAAAAAATTGCTGAAACGGATTACATCAAAATTTTAAGGAACCCAAACTCAATCGTCTGAGTTTAAAAATATTCTTGATTAAGCAGCTTTTACCAGTAATTTAAAGTGACATTAGCTCCAAGTTCCAGAAACATTCCTGATTCAGTACTTTTTACTTAGTATCACAGTACAAATAAAAATGACAAAATTAGGTCAGTGTCACTTAAAATTACTAAAGCCACTTGATTAAGAATGTTTTTTTAACTTACAAAATTGAGTTAGTTTTGCTTAAAATTTAAATAAAAGTTATCAGTTTCAACAATTTTTTTTAGTTAAATTAACTTTACAGCCTACATTATCCCAAGTTGAAAGAATTTGTTGAATAATCCATCTCTGAAGAATAAACTATTATATGTCTTACACAATTGCAATTAAACCTTTAGACGTGAGCAAATCAGTGTTCTGTTAACATAAAAATCCCACCTTTTCATCTTACACACAGAGCATGATAATGATTCTCATGGTATTTAACACTTTCTCTGCCAGAGTATTATTTCTAAGTTGCAAAAACATACTTGGTGCACATACAACATACATGGTTTTATCACCTTGATACTTAATAACTTTTTCTTGCTTTATCCCTAAAAATTATTAGGGATGCACAATGATTATCGGGGCCGATAAATTATGAGCTGATAATGACAAATTTATATTATAATGCATTATTCAGATAAATAAATTATAGCCAATACAGTGATTGGTTAATAATAATTTAATCAATAATAAATTAATTTTAAATCGTATCGGTCATGCTAAATGTTTGAAGGCTTTCTAATGTTTCTATTAACAGTCAAAGTATGCTTTGTGATGTTTTTGAACCTGTAAGTAAATGCAACGCCAGCTGTTTGTTATTTTTGCTTCGCTGCTGAAAACTATCCCATATCAATGACATCCTACTAATTATACGAATGAGGTTTTTATTTTAAGCATTGACAGGTTTACAGTTCATAACAGCCCTGACAGATGAAAAAGCTAATGACAATACAAAACAGGTGTGTAACACATACACACTGGATAAACTGCCTACAGATGGTTTATACAGTATTTGTAGCATTTGCTTTGTCTGTAGATATTTAACAGAATATCTATAGAATATGTGACAATTCATGAACATAACCAAGATGTGTTTTTTTGGTGCGTAATAGCAGCTACTGTCCCAACACTCCGCCACTCACTCACCACACTTGGCTCTATTAGTGGTAATGCAGTGGGATAGCTGAGCCACAGTAAACATGAGTTTAAGCTGATGACATGTTTAAAGGATCTGCTATAGACAATGTCACATTAGCTCTGTTTGGGGTTGTACAGCTGTAACACATAGTTGAATACGACAGGTGTTAATCCAATAGGTTCTCTAGCCATGATCAAAGTTAACAATACTTTTTACACAGCACCCCTCCCAAATCTCAGATCAGATGTGTTTGTTTAACACTTTAAAGATATATGAGGCAAGCTACATTTCTTTATCTATGAATAACTTTCGAAAGAGAAAAGAAATACATATTTGGATCATGCACAGGCCATATAACATATAAAACATGAAATATATCCTTATTTGGTGTAGTAATGATTCTTTTATGGTCATTATTGTATTTTTCCACTTTTATCCAGTGTGCAATCTCAGAAAAGTTACTACTTTTCAAAATCTTGGGTCTGTCTGAAAGAAAATATATACATATTTTGAGAGGAAAAAGTGTTCATTTATTGTTTATTTATTGATTATAATTATTACTTTTACATAT